ATTCACGCACATTAAGCACAAAACTCATGCACCTTAAAGTTTCAACAATAACTCACATTAAGTACACACCCACGCACAATAAGCACAAAACACATGCACCTTAAGCACAAGACTCACGCACCTTAAGCACAAGACTCACACACCTTAAGTACAAAACTCACGCACAATAAGCAAAAAACTCAGAACACACTCACGCACATTAAGCATAAACCCCACATGCCTTAAGCACAAGACTCACGCACATTAATCACTCGCACAACCGCACGGGAAGCATTCAATCGCACCTGAACCTTTCAATATTCAATATATATATATATATATATATATATATATATATATATATATATATATATATATATATATATATATATGTATGTATATATATATACATACATATATATATATATACATATATATATATATATATATATATATATATATATTGGAAAGAATTTAAATTAGTAACAATGAGGTTAAGGGTTCATATCTTATTTCAAACAAAATACATCAATTTGTAAAAAATATTATATATTTAAAAAAATATAACAAATTACGGGCCTAGTCCGGCATCGGTCCACAAGAAGCCCGGTACCAGGCCCAGCACGGGACCGTCCCTGAATACTATGGGCCTGTGGGCGGGTCCCGAGCTTTGCTGACTGAGGCCTAGGACCGGCCCAAGTTTATGCCAGTTCTACTTGCGGGAGTGAATAGAATTGCTAGGTGATGCTACATTTTCTGGGATATTTGGAGTCCTTTGATCCTATTACATCCTATTTCGATAAAAGATAAGAGCAAGTACTAATTGTGGTTGCCTTTGTAGAAAAGAGCAAAACATTGTTATTTACATGGCATTCCGGCAACAGTTCGGTGATTGGAGCATATCTTGACATAGGAGTGTCCAAATGAGGTGATTCAAGTGACATTTGAACAGCAACTTCAAGAGCTGCAACTTTGATAAAGATAAGAAGAGCAAATTCCGACCCACGCATCGTCCTTCGCGCGTGTGAAAAGTGCGTGGGTCTAGAGCAGAAAGTTCCACGCATCTTCCCCACACGCATGGGTCGGGCACGTGTATTTTGCACTTCGCGGAAATTGCAGATTTCAGCTTATTAAATGGCTTGTAGGGGGATTATTTCAGGGGAAATCACCATTTTCCATTATTAGATAGGTTTGTAGCTTAGTTTTACACACTTTCTCTCTAGATTAGGGTTAGATCTAGCTAGACACTCATTGCCCAACAATTCTTGAAGATTGGATCTCACATTTGAATTGAAGACTTGGTAACATTCTCTTTCTTAGCTTTCAATTCCATATTTGTTATCTTCAATTTGTGTTTTTAATCTATCAATGATGATGAGTTGCTAGACTTCTAGGATTTGGATTGGATTTGATTTGTGATTGTGTATTTATACTTTGTATAGATTAAATGATGAGACATGATGTATTGCTTGATCTTGAATGGCTATGTTGTAGAGGTGTGCATATAGATTCTCTTTCATTGAGAGCTCCAATGAGAGAGGAGTGTGAGAGTGGCGGAGTTGCAAGAGATTGCACTCTCCTTAGTCTTGCCCTTGCAATTCCCGTCCTACGATCCAAGAGGGCTAGGCCCGAGAGGAGAAGGTAAACCGCCCACCTAGATTTTGCTAGAATGCCTCACCCGACTTAGGACTTGAGAGACTAAGTCCTACGTAACCTATTGTTGGTGCCATATTTCTCCCTAGGTTAGTCTTGCCTTGCACCATCTCTTGTCAACCTTGAGACCAATGAATGCATGATCATGAATCATTTCCTTCTAAATCCCCGTTTTATATATTTGCTTATTTCCTTTACTTCCTTGCCTTCCATGCTTGCATCAATAATGTTCTTATACCATCCCCTTGCACCTAGTTCACTTTTGTTGAGACATTGTGACAATTGATTGTCCTGCATTTTGCTTACTTCGATTTGCCATCCTTGAGTTCGACACTCGGGGTTCCACATCTCCGTTTATACTTTCCCATCCACCACTTATACTATAGCTTTATCAAAATGGCGCCATTGCCGGGGATGGCAATAGGTGCTAAGTAAAGTGTGTTTACGTACTATGACAATCTAGGAGTCACTAGTATAGAATGGACAATACGCGTCCAAGCAAATGGACAATATATACGCGTCCAATATAAGCAAATGGGACATGCTCTCCATCTGAGTCCAGAACAATTCAACAATAAATGCAGCAGGCAGAAGAGAATCAATGAATTCATGGAAAAGAAAGTAAACAAGTGACTAATGTATGGAGACTGCAAGTAACCCATTACTTTACCTTTAGCCATATTGTTGAAACAGTCTATCTATTCAGAAGCATTAAAGCTACGAAATGCTCTCCTTTTCAGCCCAGGCTGACTCTGTATTCATGATATAAACTTGATATACGTCTTTGGAGATCAAAGATGGATAATACAACAAGTAAAACATCCAACAAAAGGTAATCAGTCAATGAGAAGTTGAATAAACCTAAAGAAAATGTAACTGACTTAAGTGGTTAGAGTCATGACTCATGAGTCGTAATGGAGTAATATAATTGGTAACATCCGTAGCACATCTTTTTAAAATGGTTTGTCAAGCTATAGAGTATATTGGATGTTAATTAGCTACCATCAGATTGAAGTTGCAACTACTGTATTTCCAGCTAATTTTGCAAGCTGCAATGACAATTTTAAAGCCCTTACAACCTAAAACCAAGTGAATGTCATACTGATGTGCAAATTCAAGCAAATTTATTAAAAATCAACTGTATGGCTCCAATATGTAAATGTGGAAAAGAGTTGAATGCATTGCATGCCATCCCAGCTGAAAATTATAGTGCGAATCAATGTTATATTTTAATTAGACCTATGTAAGAATCACAAATCTGATAGAAAATGGAATCACAAAGCTACATGCTTTTGTGTTATCAGAAGCAAAGAACCATGAACTTATACAAAAATATGTTCTTACTCGCTCTAAAGGGAGGAAAAATGCAGAGGCACTCGATGACTTGCTACCAGCATTCAAAGCAACTGCTCTGCCCTGCCAGTCAATTACAGGAGAGCCACTTGAACCCCCTTTTGTCCCAGATGCAGCCTGTGGATAGGTAACGTCCAAAGCTAAAATTTACCTGCTACTAGCTAGTATATAAAATCAACCAGCATATTATTTGAGATATAATAGAACTTACATCACTAGCATTAACACCAGAAATTTAAAGGAAAAGTAAGGGTAACAAATTTGTAGAACTTTGCATTTAAAGGAAATTTAAGGAAAACTAATGATTCAGTGCTCACCTACAGCAACCTTCGTCAATCCGGGAAGATCAATGAGGGTTAAGTTTACCACTGCAAAACAAAAACCCATTTCATAGTGAGGGGATTCAAAAGTTTTGTGCTTAAGGAAAATGTACATAAAAGATATACGAGAAATCCAGTAATAGATAGGAAAAAATAGCTAGTGAGTTACAAAGAGTTACCCTTAGACAAATTATTTTCTTAAACAAAGAGAAAGAGAGAGAGAGAAAAGAAGAAGAAGTAGGAGAAAGCAGCTCAATAGAAATGTTACAAGAAATGTAGTTGCCATTTTGCCAAATGTAACCGTGTTTCAATAGTAGCTACATGCTGTGAGCTATCAACTCTACTGTTATTACTATTGCTCCTAGGAGAATAAATGCTCAGGTGAATTGGGAAATTTGAGATTTGTTTTGTCTTCCTGTAATGCGATCTGTCTCATCTGCAATCTCTTGCCTTACAGTAGCTGCATTGTCATTAAAGAATTATTAATATAAAAAGCATACAAGATATGGGTCAGATGGATTAGATTTTCTTTGATGATAAATGAGTAACCGAAAATAAAATAAAATCAATTCATTAACCAGATCAAAGTTATTATCTGGTACAATGCATATGCTTGATTGTAAACCTAGGGAATATTTTACAAAGGAAATTCTTTCAGATATCATTTAGAATTTCAAGATATTTGATTTATTGTAGCTTGCTTCATGCATATATAATTATATATACCTCAAAATTATACAACCAATGTTACAGAATAAAGAAATAAATAAAATCACTAGAGAAAAGGAGAGAAATATATTATGGAGTACTCTTCAATTTCTACTTACCAAAAACAGAAAATCTTCTTTTAGGAGCATGAAGAAACTCTGCATATTCAGCCCCTCCCCCAGTCTTATGGAGTTGCAGCACCAATGGCCTCCTTGTAACAATGCCCACTACTGAAAATTATGGAATTTCCGACCACCTAAAAATGGTCTTAAATTAAGTTAATACCAAAAAGTCCAAAAAGTGGTCGGAAATAGCAACAAAGGTTTTTCCGGATACCAAAAGTGGTCGGAACAAGACTTTCAACTTGATTTTAGATCACTTTCAGGTGGTCAGAAATTCCATAATTTCCAGTAGTCGCCTTTGCAGAAAGAAAAAAATTATGGAAATAAAAAAATATACAATAAAGATTCTGATGAGCATAGCAGATGCACACAGCAGAACAGCTTGAGTTCTCTCATAGCTTTAAGGGCATTTGTGTCCTTTCACCATCAGTTAGTTATAATTGGCTTTCCCAGCAGTTTAGTTTAAAAGCTTTGTTTTTCCCTCTCTTTTTTTTTTTTGTAACAAAAACACTATGCTGATCTCTGTAAAACTTTGGAGCTTTCAATCCACTAGAATCTTTCTTTCTTCCTTAATGTGATGCTCCATAGCTCGTCATGGTATCAAAGCTTCGCAGGACATACGCAGCAGCCGTGGTCATGAATGTTAGCAATAATAATATTTATGTTATAGCATATGGTTTATTCTATGTGGTTATTATTCATCTGACTAGGCTTGTCTATTGTATAGGAGATATTTGTGGTAGCTTTCCTATAGGACTCTTCATTGTACTCTCTTTCCTGATCTAATGTGAATTCAGTTTGTTCATCTGGTATCAATTAGCGTTAGGCTAGGAATCCTATTATGTGTTTCCTCTCCCACCACACCATGTCGACAAACTCTTCTAAAAGAACCGTTACTACCACCACCGCCCCAACGCAACACTCCGGGACCTCCCTAAATGCTGTGCACCATTTTGTTTCGATTAAGCTAAACAATCGGAACTTTTTATTCTGGCGCACCCAGATTGTTCCATTCTTGCGTGGGCAGGGCCTCTTAGGCTTCATCGACGGCAGCTCCTCATGTCCTCCGGCGACAGTTCCCGCGGCGGTGCAACCTGGCGACTCCGGCACCACCGTAGCAGGGTCAACCGTAGATAACCCAGCGCACACCGCTTGGGTCCAACAGGATCAATCGATCTTGTCTCTCATGATCTCATCGCTCTCAGATGAGGTTATGCCTCTGGCGGTTGGTCGGGAGACTTCCAGAGATGTTTGGCTCGCAATCAAAGAATCGCTAGCATCTTCCACGAGGGCTCGGTGCCTCAATTTGTTGGGGCAATTCCAGACACTCCGGCAAGGCAGTATGACGGCCTCGGAGTATCTCGGCAAAGCCAAATTGCTGGTCGAAGCTCTCTCCCTCGCCGGTCACAATCTCACCCTCGACGAACAGGTTCTCTACGTGCTGCGTGGACTCCGGCCGGAGTTTCGGGCGTTAGCCAGTGCACTCACTGTGACTGGAAAGTCGGTGACCCTATCCCAGCTCGGTGATCTTTTGCAGGCGTAGGACTTCATTCAAGGCGATGATCTCTCTGCGATGGATGCTGGAAATAGCTCCTCTCCGGTGGCCCTGTATGCTGGTCGCGGTGGTCAGACCAGTGGGCATGGCGGATGGCAGTCCGGGAATCAGCGCGGGCGAGGGCGTGGCGGTGGATGGCAGAATGGCAAAGGTCGTGGCCGTGGAAATCCTAGGTGTCAGATTTGACGGAGTCACGGTCATACGGTCGTCTACTGCTACAAACGATACACGGAACCTGCACCACATGCCAATGTCGCCGTCGCAGGAGGCTCGCCGGCGGACGCCACTCAACCGGATGCCTGGTTCCCTGATACTGGAGCGTCCACCCACGCGTCGCCAGATGAGCAGCAGGTTAGGCAGTCCGAGCTCTACACCGGCGAAGATGTGCTGAAAGTGGGCAATTGCGCAGGTTTGAATATCTCCCGGGTTGGCCGTACAATTATCCCATCCCATTCCAGAGTATTAAATATGTCTAATATACTATTTGTTCCCAAATTGTCGTTACCCTTATTATCTGTTTATCGTTTCACTAACGAAAACAACGTCTTTTCGAGTTTCATAAAGACTCTTTTTTTGTGAAGGATTGCACTACACAGGAAACGCTTCTTAAAGGCTCCGCGGTAGGCGGTCTATACAAATTGTTGGTGCCTCGGGCGCATTTTGCATTTCTATCGGCAAAAGCTACACCCTCTGTCTGGCATCAACGATTGGGTCACCCTCATAAACAAGCCCTGCAACGAGTCTTGAAAAACTGTCCGGTCACGTCAAATAAAGCCCATGCGTCAGGAGTCTGTACCGCGTGTCAACTTGGCAAATCAGCTCGGTTTCCTTTAGATAGAGTTAGTTCGTCAAGTTTGAATATTTTAGACTTATTGTATACAGACATCTGGGGGCCTTCCCCGGTTATTTCAGATTCAGGCTACCGATATTTTGTTTTGTTCGTAGATAACTGTACACATTTTTCCTGGTTTTATCCCTTACGGCTAAAATCAGATATATATAAAGTGTTTGAATTGTTTCGGGCGATGGTAGAACGGCGGTTTTCCCGTTCTATCAAAGCCATTCAGTCTGATTTAGGGGGTGAGTATCGCCGCCTCCACAAAACGTTTGAGTCTTTAGGCATCACACACAGACAATCGTGTGCCTATACCCACGAGCAAAACGGCCGCGTTGAACGCCGTAATCGACCCATTGTCGAAACCGGCTTGGCCTTATTAGCCGGAAGCTCAGCTCCGTTAAAATACTGGGATTACGCTTTTGAAACAGCAACACAATTAATTAATTGCTTGCCTTCATCAGCTATATCTTATGAAACCCCACACTTCCGTCTACATAAACCCTCTCCACCATACACTTTCTTCCGGGTGTTCGGGTGCAAGCGCTACCCTTATCTTAGGCCATATAATCAGCACAAGATTGAGTACCGCTCTGCACCCTGTGTCTTCTTAGGTTACCCAGTTTCTTTTAGGGGATACCGTTGTATGGACTTAACTACAGGGAAGGTATTTATCTGCCGTCATGTGCGTTTTGATGAATCAATCTTCCCATTTACTTTGCAGACGTCTTTGCAGGTCAATACCAGTCCGGACTCCACTCCCGCATCTTGGGGTGTTGGACCCGTGTTGGTCAATCCCGTGGTTGCCCCGGTTCTTGATGAACCACCCATTGCGCAACAACCGGTGCCTATGGCTATAGAAGGGCCGCCTCAGACTGCTCCCCGACGAGGTCGACCTCCGGGACGGTCTAAACGTCCTTAACCCCCAGTTGAGGATCATGTCATGCGCACCAGGTGCAAAACTCGGGGCACAAACGAGCAATTTCATGCCCTGACCATTACTGTGGACCCCACTTGCTATTCTCAGGCCGTGGGCCATCCGCAGTGGCGGGATGCCATGGATCAGGAGTTCAATGCACTTATGCACAACAATACGTGGAAATTAATTCCCGCAACCCCGAGTATGAATGTTATCAGATGCAAGTGGGTGTTCCGCACCAAGCGCAAAGCCGATGGTACAGTTGAACGGTATAAAGCCCGTTTAGTAGCAAAAGGGTTCAATCAGGTAGCCGGAGAAGATTTTTTGACACCTTTAGCCCCATGGTCAAACCCACAATAGTCCGCATTCTGTTTTCTCTTGCAGTATCCCGCAATTGGGTGCTCCGTCAGCTAGATGTTCACAATGCATTCTTAAATGGACGCCTAGCTGAAACTGTCTACATGAAGCAACCTCCCGGTTACGAAGACCCCGCTCATCCGGGACATGTCTATCATCTGCAGCGTTCTCTATATGGACTCAAACAGGCACCTCGGGCGTGGTTTAACAGGTTGCATGAGTTTTTGACATCAACAGGTTTTTTGGCATCCAAAACCGATGTCTCACTCTTCTACTATACGACAGGGAAATCACGGGTATACTTGTTAGTCTATGTCGACGACATAATCATGATGGGCAACGACTCGGCTTTGATTGACACACTCCTGCATCAGCTATCCACAGCGTTTAAAATCAGGGACCTGGGTACACCCAACTTCTTTTTAGGGATTGAAACAGTGCCCTCGGGAGACGGTCATGTTCTGTCGCAGCGCCGCTATATGAAGGATATCCTGACTAGGTCAGGTATGACAGATTGTAAAGCTCTGGCCACCCCAGCTTCGATTACTCAGCCCGCGTCTCCCTCGTCAACTCCGTTTGAAAATCCGACGCAATATCGTCGCATTGTAGGGGCGCTACAATATCTCACCATCACACGGCCCGATCTCTCCTACTCAGTTAATAGACTCTGCCAGTTCATGCACTCTCCGACGGATGACCACTGGGCATTACTTAAGCGTGTTCTGAGATAAAAGGGACTCAAGACTATGGGCTTCGTTTATCTGCGTCGTCAGCTTCTGATCTACATGCATATACGGATTCGGACTGGGCCGGTTATCCGGTAGATCGTAAGTCCACTAGTGGATACGCAGTGTTTCTCGGGGATAATCTTGTGTCATGGGTTTCTCGCAAGCAGCATACAGTCGCCAGGTCATCCACCGAAGCCGAGTACAAAGGGTTGGCCGATGTTTCAGTAGAGGTTACGTGGATTATTTCTTTACTGCGCGAGTTAGGGTTACACTCCGGCTCCCCTGCCACGCTATGGTGTGATAATTTAGGGGCTACCTACCTAGCAGCCAATCCGGTCTTCCACGCCCGCACTAAACATGTTGAAATTGATTATCGCTTCGTTCGAGACAAGGTGGCTTCTTGGGATTTCATTGTTAGTTTCGTCTCTACCAAGGATTAGCTGGCAGACATCTTCACCAAACCTCTACCAGCACCACGTTTTCAGGCTCTACGAGACAAGCTCAATGTTGTTGCTCTCCAACCTTGTGCTTGAGGGGGAGTGTTAGCAATAATAATATTTATGTTATAGCATATGGTTTATTCTATGTGGTTATTATTCATCTGACTAGGCTTGTCTATTGTATAGGAGATATTTGTGGTAGCTTTCCTATAGGACTATTCATTGTACTCTCTTTCCTGATCTAATGTGAATTCAGTTTGTTCATCATGAATACAGACGGTGGTGGGAATCAAACTCAGGCGGAACATGTGGGAACTTCTTCGAATCAAACTTTAGCGAATCAGATGCAGCGGAATGATGAGTTCGATGATACCTTGTATCTTCACGTCGCTAAAAATCCTAACCTTAGCCTTGTTTTGCCATCCCTATCTGAGATTAACTACGCATCATGGAGCAGATCCATGAGAATTGCGTTAGAAGTGAATAACAAGTTCGATTTTGTCGACGGAACTGTTCTAAGTCCAGAAGTTGGTGATCCGAAGCTTGCATCATGGAAGAGGTGCAATCAGATTGTCTGTTCATGGATGCTGAAATCTATCAATCCTAACATTGCAGAAAGCGTGATGTACCTTGACAATGCATCAGATATATGGAGTGTGCTACAAAAGAGGTACTCACAGTCTGATCCTCACAAGATTTATGAAATCCAGAATGAAATTTTTAAGAGTGTTCAAGGAAAAATGACTATTAACGAATATTTCACCAAGAGCAATTGTAACACCCCGTGTTACGGCCTTTAACCCAAACTAATTATTTAATTACTCACCCTTAAAAGAGAATTAAACTCCCTTAATTAATTAGGAAGGGTCCACCATAAACCATGGACCCTTATCCCTAAAACAACCTTTAGTCCTATGAGGAATAGAATTAGTAAGTCCCTACCATTCAGACCCTAATTAGAACTCTTAGAGATATATATAAGGACATAGAGGCACCTAGAATTCACACCACAATAGATTCCACCACACAAGAATTCCCAAGAATTCCCCTATCACCAAACGTAGGAGAAATCAAGAAGAGGAGATCTTAGAGAAAAGAACCTTAGTAGCCAAGGATTCTAATTAAGGCTAAGAGGTAACCCATGTCTCAACAAAACCTATTTTCCTTGCTATAATCTTCTTCATTGGCTCCTTTGATATGCAATTCTATGTTTGTGTCTTGATAAGTCTTTTATGATGATTATGATATAATCTTGATGTTTATGAGATGATCTTATGTGTTGAACTTGATAATCTTGATGATTATGAGAGGATCTTGATAATTGTGTGTTGATCTTGATAATCTTGATGTTCTTGATTTTAGAGATAAAGTTATGATCTTGTGCTTTAAATATGATTAGAGCCCTATGTTTAATCGTGGATTTCGTATTGTGATGTTCATGGTATATTTGAGTGGGATTTTGCATGTTCGGGTATTGAGTCTTGTTTATGTTTAGAAGTCATGTTAGGATGTATTTAATGTGATTCTTGGTTTTAACACATTACTTGATTACGTGGTGTTGTCGTTTATGTTTAAATGTGTCTGGACATGGTTTCGGGTTCAACGAAAAATCCCAGGACCAATTTATTACGAAAGAGTCTGTAGGGGTAAGTGGGGGCAGGGGAACCCGCGATGAGAGAGGAAATAATAATTCAGTTATTCAGAAAGAG